CATTCATCACGGCAAACTCGACCGTGGACTAGATTTTCAGCCAACCGCGAGAGCAGACTCACGGGAGGCCAACATCCACCCCGACCGGCACCTGAGCGAGCGGGCGGGAGGGGTAACGACGTGTGACACCCAGGCAGGCGTGCCCTCGGCCGAATGGCTTCGGGCGCAACTTGCATTCAAAGACTTGACGGTTCACGGGATTCTGCAATTCACACCAAGTATCGCATTTCGCTACGTTCTTCATCGATGCGAGAGCCGAGATATCCGTTGCCGAGAGTCATTTTGCATGACTTAGCATGTCCTGTCGTGACGGCTCCCGCGGGACACCGTCCCTCGTGTGCCGCACCTAACAGCTTTCATCGTTCCTTGGCGCACAAAGCGCCGGGGTTAGTTAGTGTTTGTTCGTCCATCGGGGAGGGGCACGTCGTTGCCATGCCACCCCGGCAGAGAACAGGTACGGATAACATACACGTTCACCGGCCGAATTGGTTGTGTTGCGAGGCATCGACAATGATCCTTCCGCAGTTCACCTACGGAAACCTTGTTACGACTTCTCCTTCCTCTAAATGATAAGGTTCAGTGGACTTCTCACCACGTCGCGAGCGGCCGACCGCCCACGTCGCCGCAATCCGAACACTTCACCGGACCATTCAATCGGTAGGAGCGACGGCGGTGTGTACAGAGGGCAGGGACGTAGTGAACGCGAGCTAATGACTCGCGCTTACTAGGAATTCCTCGTTGAAGACCAACAATTGCAATGATCTATCCCCATCAGATGAAATTTCAAAGATTACCCGGCCTGTCGGCCAAGGCTATAGACTCGTTGAATACATCGCTGTAGCGCGCGTGCGGCCCGTAACATCTAAGGGCATCACGGACACTGTTATTGCCTCAAACTTCCGTGGCCTAAACGGCCATAGTCCCTCTAAGAAGCTGGCCGTGGAGGGTTACCTCCACATAGCTATTTAGCAGGCTGAGGTCTCGTTCGTTAACGGAATTAACCAGACAAATCGCTCCACCAACTAAGAACGGCCATGCACCACCACCCATAGAATCAAGAAAGAGCTCTCAGTCTGTCAATCCTTACTATGTCTGGACCTGGTAAGTTTCCCCGTGTTGAGTCAAATTAAGCCGCAGGCTCCACTCCTGGTGGTGCCCTTCCGTCAATTCCTTTAAGTTTCAGCCTTGCGACCATACTCCCCCCGGAACCCAAAGACTTTGATTTCTCATAAGGTGCTGTAGACCCCAAATCTTGCCCGGCCTCAGAATAAAGTCAGAAAGCATCCTATTTTGAAGACGGCTGAAGCTTAACAAGTCATTAGGAGAGGCTATTAGGCTCCTGTACCAAGATAAGAAGGTTTTTTGGCCCGAAAATAAAGTTTCTCGCCCTGAAGGGACGAGACCGCCGTCTGGAAGGACCAGACCGCCGTCGCGTCTCAGCGCCAGGTCGAGACCGCCGTCTCGGTTTTCCAGACGGCGGTCTCGTCTCCTGCAAAGTCGAGACGGCGGTCTGGATTTTCCAAACGGCGGTCTCGATTTCGGCCATGGACGAGACGGCGGTCTTGACTTTCCAAACGGCGGTCTCGACCTATCAGGCACAAAAAACTATAAATAGGGGCTCTCCCCCCCTCATTTCCACACAGAATTCACAGAGCTCTCCCTTCTCTCTAGACTTTCTCTCTCTAAGAATCCCTCCGAAGCATTTCCGGAGTTTCTGAGTGTCTTTAGGAGCATTTTTGAGCGTTCTAAATCTTCTTTAGGATCCCTCCGAGGCATTTCCGGAGTTTTCTGAGAGTTTGTAGAGTGAAGGGTTGCCAAAACGCACCCTCTCTTTTAAAGAAAATACATAAAGCTTGCTTTGGAGGTGCATATTCTTTATCCTTCTAAATTTTACCGCTTTCATATAAATATATGCAATAGAAGCCAGGGTCATGTAGTCATAAATTTAAATACCGCGTAATAAAAGGGTAAAAGCGCTATTTTCCAGTTTAATTATTTATTCAAGCTAGCCAGCCTATCATAGGGAACCCGAAAGGGGCGTCGTAAAGGAACTAATACTTCCTTTACACGTAACTAACTCCCTTACCCAACTCTGGTTCTAATGACCAAGTTGGTTTTCGAAAACCAACGCCTTTTTAAACCCCTTTTCCGATGTTTATGGTAAAAATATCGGTGGCGACTCCATAGAACCCAAATTAAATAAATCCCTGAGTTAGACCGGTTATAGGACAACTCAGGGATACTTTTGAAAACCTCGCCCCTAGGTTAGCCCGGTTATCGGACAACCTAAAGGCGTTGTAACCACCAATAAAAACGCGAAAAATCGAAAAGAGTCGAAAAACCATCGCGTCGCTCCGACCGACCCTCTCTCTTTTGAGACGGCGGCGACAGATGGCGACTCCACTGGGGAAGCCTAGAGAGTTGATCCCATTTAGTGATGGGTTGGCTTAAAAATAATTAAACCAAGAAATTAACGCTTTTACCCTACCTTGTATTATAACATGCTTTATTGTTTGGCTTTCAATAAC